AAGAGGCACATTAATAGGGAAAACCTACAAACTTACTCTAGTCATAGTTTTTACATGACACAGGAGCCTTCAGAATGAAGATCCCAAAGATACAGGGAAACTGCCCATTTTATGCTTAGGTTCAACAAAGTATGGGCAGCCATGTAGAAATATGATTGAACAAAAGGGGCATGATCTAATGCTATTAGGCTGAGTGGGGAACCCGGTAGGTCTGTCTGTCTAGCTTCTTCTCCTCTGCCTCACTGTGCAGCATTCCTTCCCTCTGGGGGGGCAGGGCCCTCTCTGGAATGGGTCTTACGACCTACAATCAAACAAGATATGTTAGATAATTTCATCTCAAAAAAAAAAGAATACTTGGGAGGCTGAGGCAAGAGGATTGCTTCAGCCCAGGAGTTAGAGGTTACAGTGAGCTATGATCAAACCACTGCACTCCAGCCTGGGTGACAGAGCAAGATCTTGTATCAAAAGAAAATAAAAGTCCTATCTACAAATAAAGTCACATCCTGAGCCACTGGGGCTTAGGGCTTCAATATATGAATTTTAGGAGGACACAATTCAGCCCATAAGAGGAGTTAATATTTTGAACTTTCACATTTATGTACACAAGCAAGTTTGGCCTGCAATTTTTTTTTTGTAAATGAATTGGGAAGATTTAGAAAGATTTCTCTTCTATTCTATTATGTGTAACTACTTGTGTAAGTTAGGGATTATATGCTCCTTGAAATATTGCTAGAATTTTTATAGAGGCAAAAACCTCTATAACTAGGAAGTTTTTTGAACACATGAGATAAAGGAAAATGTTTTATTAGTACTTTAATTTCTTTCATATTTGTTGATCTATTTAAGTTTTCTATTTCTTATTGTCCTAATTGTGCCATTTTATATTTTTTCGGTTTTTATACAGGTTTCAAATTTATATTTTATAATATCCATTAGCATTATGACTTCCACATTTATACCTTTTACTCAAGTGGAATTCAGCTTTGTATATGGGTTAAAATAGGGATCTAATTTTGTTTTTCTTTTTTATGAGCCTACTTTCCCCACATCATCTATTAACCATCCATTCCTTCCTCAATGATTAATAGACCCCCTTATCATACACAAAATTTCCACACATATAAGGAAAGATTTTATTTTTATTTTATCTTTATCTCACACTGTCATTTTTCCAATTCAAATGTTTACAAAACACTAATTTTTTTAACCATATATATTTAACATTCCCAACAACCCTGCGGGATATTGTCTCTGTTTCTTAAATGAGCAGATGGAGACTCAGAAAGGTTATATTTAGCCCAAACCTCACATAGTACTGAATGATATGTCAGGACTTCTGGCTCCAAATTAATTGTTCTTTTCCCAGCTCACCTACTGCCTGTTTAAGCAGCTGGCTTCTTGTACCTAATTCCAGCTAGTCATTGAAATACTCATTAAATACTTGCTATGTACAAGACACTATTCTAGGTTCTAGGACAATGGCAGAAAACAAGACAGATAAAAATCTCTGCCCTCATACAACTCACATGGCAGAAGGTTCAGGGCAACTCTGAACACAGAGGGGACAGTTAAGAAACACCACATTTGATGACAGTGACTGTTCTGGTGCCTACATGATATCCATCCTTCCAAGGAGGTTGGTGCTTCAGCTTATTTGGAGAGTCGAAGGCAGGCCGGAGGAAGTTCCCCTGACTCTGGCAACAGAAACTCCAAGTCAAACAAGACTCTCTGGAGTTACCCAGCTGTGCCTCTACCTTTGGGCAATTTCAAAAAAAATTTCCTTTAATCTACTAGAGACATCATTTCCCCCATTCCTCTGACACCAGAATGAACGGAGAATATATCTCTTACTGTCTAACCTAATCCCTACTACCATTATTAAGCCTGGTTTCAGAACATCCCTGGCAGAGATGGAGAGCAGCCAGTTTCCCCCTTCCAGAAAGCTTTCTTTGTATTTTAAAATGTTTTAACATTTAAGACTAGAAATAAAGTCAAATTTATGTTATTCATCATAGCGATAGATCAGTTTAAGATTACTAAAAATTGACTACAAAAATTGAATCATTCAAAGGGTCCCTTTGTCTATCTCCCTGGTTCTAAGGGATAAAAATTAATTCCTAATAAACACATGGTAATCTCCAATCAGTAGGGTGAAGAGGGGATAGGGAGAGATTTATTAAAGGATACAAAATTACAGCTAGAAGGAAGAATAAGTTCTAGTGAGCTATAGCACTGTAGGATGACTACATGTCATATAGTTTCAAACAGCAAGAAGGAGGATAGTGAATATTCCCAAAACAAAGAAATTATAAATGTTTGAGATGATGGATATGCTAATTACCCTGATCTGATCACTTACATTATAGGTACCAAAACATCATTGTGTACCCCATAAATATGTATAATTATTATATGTCAATTTAAAAAATATTATGTAAGGCCAAGCACAGCGGCTCATGTCTGTAGTCTTAGCACTTTGGGAGGCCAAGGTGGGAGGATCACTGGCAGCCAGGAGTTCAAGACCAGCCTGAGCAACATAGCAAGACCCTGTCTCTACAAAAAATTTAAAAAGTATCCAAGCGTGGTGGTGCACACCTATAGTCCCAGCTATTCTGGAAACTGAAGAGGGAGGATCTCTTGAGCCCAGGTGTTTGAGGTTGCAGTGAGCTATGATGATGCCACTGCACTCCAGCCTGGGCAACAGAGAAAGACCCTGTCTCCAAAAATAATTTTTAAAAATAAATTTTTAAAAGTAATAATTGAGTTTTCAGCTGGGCCCATGGGCATCCTGGTAATATTTCCCAGCCTTTCACGTGACCATATGCTTGATTTCTGGCCAGTAGATTGTGGGCAACTTCTCAGTCATGCCATTAAGAGAAGACTGTCCTCCCCTTTCCCTTTCTTCCTTCCCACTGGCTGGAAGGGGACTTATTGGGGGACACCTTGGGCTGTGAGGATGAGAACACCCTATGGATGGCACAGTGAAAATGAATAGCCTGTACCCCTCTTGGCCTATAGACCAGAATCTCATACCAGCTGGGACTTTAATGCCATAGAGAAGTCAGCTTCTCTCTGGTTTAAGTCCCTGTTCTCTGGGTCCCATGAAACCAAGCCTATATCCTCAGTAATGTTCCCAAATGTCCAGCCACCCTCCCTGTCCTTTCTAAAGTCTATCTTCAGAACTTCCTGCTCCACTTGAAATAATTTTTCTTGTTATTCTTTAGTGAAAGGTGTTGCTATCCACTCCTGATAACCATGAGTATTAAATAAAGAATACATCTCATATTAAAGTGATTTTTTTTTCAAACCCTAGGCTTGGACATCTATAATTCTTTCAAATTTTAAGAATTGAGTTGCCAGACCATTAAGAATTTTGCAGTTTTTTATTATTCTACTATTAAAAAATTTTAATCTTACAGTAAAAACTAACCATATATTTGTTTTTATACATTATATACATTTGAGAAATAAATAGTGTTCTAAGTAGCATTTTTAAAAAAGCATCATTATATACAATCAAGGCTTCAAACCAAATGTATTATATAAATACACAACACAGTGAGGAGTTAATTCCCAAAGCTTCCATTAGTAAACACAGAAGTCAAAAGTAACCAGGAGGCACGGCCAATAATACAGGCAGAGTGTCCTTAAGCCAAAACTCCAAAGTCCAAAATGCTCCAAAATCCAAAACATTTTGAGCGCTGACACGATGCCACAAGTGGAAAATTCCACATATGAGTGCTTAACATAAACTTTGATTTATGCATGAAATTATTTAAAATATTCTGTAAAATGACCTTCAGGCTATGTGTCTAAGCTGTATGTGAAACATAAATGGATTTTGTGTTTAGACTTGTGTTCCATCCCCAAAATATCTCATTATGTATATGCAAATGTTCTAAAATCTGAAAAAAAAATCTAAAACACTTCTGGTCCCAAACATTTGGGATTTGAGATACTCAACCTGTACAAGCTTCACTTTGGTTAGAAAGCATCACAGGAGCAAGCGAAGCACACAGCTGGATAGAGAACATACCTTAAATGAGACTCAACTGGTCATGTCTTCAGACATTTGGCATTAAACAGTGATACAGCTTTGGCACGATATGGATTAAACCAATGTCCTTAAAAACCTAAGTAGAAAGAAAATCACTCCTTCTCCCCCACTGGATGTCACACCTCCTCCTATATCTCACCCATAAAAAAGCCCAACCCTTTGGCATAGGTATTCTCCTGGTTATATATTAATAAAAGAGTTTAGGGTTTTATGGATGGCTCTGAAAAAAAGTCCTTCTTTGTCTCGCATCTGGAGTATATTTGTGGGAAATGGCTGTAGAAGTCTTCGAGAAGTTTCAGAGACGATTTGCCCCATGGACTTTGCCTCCAGAAAATCTGGGCCCTCAGTTTGGCTGCACCAGCAACTTGGCATATAATTCTAGGCATGTGGCTCAACCTCGCTAAGCCTCAATTTTGTTGAATAGAGACAATAATAGCTGCCCTGCTCATCTCACTCTAATTAGGTGATACACATGCAAACTTTTGAAAAATATGAAAGCCTGTCTCAGATATCAGATATATTAATTCAAATCAAGACCTAGACATGAGAAACCAAGAAGTGGGGAGGGTGGGTGTGGGATAAAAACTGACCCCTGCCCGTCCTTTTAAAAATGTGAAAAATAGGCCGGGCATGGTGGCTCACGCCTATAATCCTAGCACTCTGGGAGGCCAAGGCGGGAGGATTGCTCAAGGTCAGAAGTTCGAGACCAGCCTGAGCAAGACCCTGTCTCCACTAAAAATAGAAAGAGATTAATTGGCCAACTAAAAATATATAGAAAAAATTAGCCGGGCATGGTGGCGCATGCCTGTAGTCCCAGCTACTCGGGAGGCTGAGGCAGGAGGATCACTTGAGCCCAGGAGTTTGAGGTTGCTGTGAGCTAGGCTGACGCCACGGCACTCACTCTAGCCTGGGCAACAAAGTGAGACTCTGTCTCAAAAAACAAACAAACAAACAAAAAAGATCTAGAATTGGAGGCTTTTCCAAGACAGAAAAGGCACTGGTATTAAAGCAAGATATTTCAAAAAGGAAAAAGCACTGTATTAAATGTTAGAGCCAGCTCTCCCTGGCGCATGCTGGTTCTGGATAAACAGACTTGTATTACAAATGGAATACCTTCTATCTCCCTGAGCAGAAGAGGTTTTGCTCCTAAGCAGTCATATCCAGCAACCGCCGGCCATTCTGGCCCCAGCAGGTAAGATACTCTGCTTGCTATTCTGCTAGTGACCAAACGCGTCACTCTTGGGGGACACGACACATGTTAACTACCAAGAAATAGGTAGAAACCACCGAAGGCCTTGGGATCCCTAACTCTTACATCCCGTAGCCCCTACCAATGCCCCTCATGCCTTCCACCACATTTATACCCCAACGGGAAGGGGTTCTAGAAATCCCAGCCCCACTGGGGTTAGTAATGCATCTTAGCAATGCGTCTACTGCCACGTGCTAATGAATCTTAAGTGCCCAATAAATGCTTGTTCAACCAAATAATGAACAAGGGAAAAATAAGAAAGCCAGTGATGTGTGCTTCAGAGGGTAATTTGAGGAACAAGACGGAATGTCAGTACAGCCACGAGAACCCCCACAGCAACCTCCACAGAGTCGGCACCAGCCCAGGTGTGCTGTCCTCTCTCGGGGTGGACAAGGCAACAGGCCTGCCATCTGACCTGAGTCAGCTCCCAGTGGAAAGACCTCCCACGAAGGCTCAAGTCGGGCCAAGCAGCTGCCAGCCTTCCCCGCAGAGCCACTGCAGAGCCCGTGGTCCCTGGCAGGCAAAGCATGGGCTGGTGCAGCTGCTGAGAACCTGACCCCGGGCTCCGCCACTCACACGCACATCTGGGCTCGGTGCCTAGAGGTGTCGCCCCAGGTGTGGAGTTAGAGCTAGCCTAGCAACAACAGGAGCTTCGGCAGTGCAGTCCCCTCCAGCCAGAAGTCCCAGCCGTCACAGGAGACGAGTTGTTCCTGATGCTCAGGGTCCAGGCCGAGAGGGGCCCTTCCATCGGTGGGTCCTCGGCGGTAACTTTCCTCCATGTGCTTGGGCGGCAGGGGTCCTTGCTGGCAAGATGTCCCCGGGTGCCCTCAGGGAAGCTCCACGGTGGGACTGGAAGGAACCATGTGACAGGGGCACACGTCAGCTCACATCCCAGCAAATATGCCAACCTGTACTGGGACCTGCTCTCCACACCCCAAGACCAAGCTTTCTGACACACCTGTGGGCTGTTTTACTTGCTTTCCTTTCAGAAGAAATGGACAAGATCGTGAAGGGCTTCCTTCTCCCCCTAACCCGACAAGCCACAAATTCACTCTGAGAAACACCACACCGCAGCGCTTCCCGGGCCCCTCGTTGCATACAGCACAGTCTCTGCATTTGCATATTTAGTACAATACCCACCCCGAAGCGTACACACACACACACACATACACACACATGCGCACGTGGGGAAAATTATCAAAGTGTCCTCTTCCCCTCCATCTCGAAATACAAGAGAAACTGGATTACGCCAGGAAGGGGCAAGACTGAGTCCAGAGACCTGGTGATTCTAGTCTCACCTACACAACCATGCCATTGAACCTCTATGAACCTCAGTCTCCTAATCGGTGAACAGGTGAACAGAACCCATGACAGGAGGGGGAATACTGAAGGTGTCACATATATGTCTAGGGCTGCCATGGCTTACTAGGGCTAACTTATTACTCGGGCTCCTATGGTTTTCTGTTCCTTTGAGGGAAAGGGAAGGGGTGGCTTGTTTTCTAAAACAAGTAGTGTGAGGGGAGCCATAGTTCTCAACAATTATGAAGTTCTGGAGCAGAAAAGGAGAATAAAATATCTTATCCCTTATCATAAGAATAACCATCCTTCCTGGGTGTGTCCAATCTACATGGCTCTTCTAAAGATCAATGAAGTTTAAATATACATATATATATATATATATATATAAACATTTTGAAAGGCATAAATTCAAATGCAAACATAAAGAATTTAAATTGCTGTGATAGCAGAAAATCCCATGAGCCTACGCTAGACTGAGTCCCTTAATTAGACGGGTAGTTCTCAGTCCCCACAAGGCCTGTGATCACTGTGCTTGTGGTTGTGCTGATGCTCCTGAACAGGAGACAGAGAAGCTGGGGTGCAGCCCAGCCTCAAGGCTGGCGGATGGTTAATCACAGGGGACCCCAGAGCACGGGCTCAGCTGCCGGATAATTGAGACCCAGCCCCAGGTGAGGTGGCTCATCGCAGCTAGGGGAACCTCCGTGCTCAGGAGCACGGGCTTTAGAGCAGACCGACCCACTTCGCAATGTCCCTCTGCCATCACTGGGGATGTTGGGGGAGCGACTTCATCTCCTGGAGCCCCAGATCTCATCTATACACAGGGATAACAACACCCGCCTCATGGGGTCGATGATAAACTTGAGTGATTATGTAAATCGCTGGAGGGAGGGTGGGCCCACACTCAGTGCCCAGTGTGCAGCAGCAGTAGTATTATCTAGAACCCTGGTTAGGGCAAGGGGCGGGGGCAGGAATAGGTGGAGAGACAGTCTCCCTGCTCTCCAGCAGGTGCTTAGACTCAGAGAGCGAGATGGGCCTTCCTCAGCCGGAAGAACGGGATTCCAGCATGGAAACATGACAACCTCTCTGTCTGACTCAGATTCACGTACATGAGCATTCCTGTTGCTCAAAAAGGGGGAGAAGGCCAGACACGGTGGCTCATGTTTGTAATCCTAAGCACTCTGGGAGGCCAAGGCGGGAAGATCGCTTGAGCTCAGGAGTTCGTCTCTATAGAAAAAAAATTAGCTGGGCAACTAAAAATAGAAAAAAATTATCTGGGCATGGTGACATGTGCCTGTAGTCCCAGCTACTCAGGAGGCTGAGGCAGGAGGATCGCTTGAGCCCAGGAGTTTGAGGTTGCTGTGAGCTAGGCTGACACCATGGCACTCTAGCCCGGGCAACAGAGTGAGACTCTGTCTCAAAAAAAAATAAAAATAAAAGAGGGATAATTAGGCCCACTAATATCCATTCACACCAACCTGGGTTCCAGAAAGCCAAAAAAGTGGGGAAATATGCTTTGTGTCTCTCCTTTACCTCCCACTCCATTCTCCACTCTGACCTGGTGCCCAAAAGGCAGCTAGAAACCCTGGAACCTTCCCACAACCCTGGTCACCACAGAGAAGGCATCAATCAAAGGTGGCAGGGTACAGGCACCAAGCTGGGGACTTAGTTACTGAGGAGAGCTTAGGCCAAAGGGCCATGTGCAATGCACGTCTAAAGAGAGGCAGAAGGGATGTCAACACCCTCCAACATGCTATATATGACATGTCCCTTATCTCTCTATGTCCTTCTAGCAGAAGGTCAGCTTCCTAAAGGAAGGGATTATTTTCTGTTTTTGTTCCTGCTGCATCCCAAGCACACAGATCCGTACTCAGCACATGCCAGGCGATCAGTCAACATGTGCTGAGTGGAACAAATGAGAAAGTCCTGGTTACCTGGTTTCATTTTTCATTCTCCAGCCATCCCGACACTTGTGAAACCAGAGCTCTCGGCCAGGGGATATGCTGGTGTTCTCAGGGTCCTCTGCACAAAATGTCAGTCTGGGAGGAAAAAGAAACCATAGATGTAGCCGAAATTCTAGAGAGAATTCACACTGTGCCTTATGGACCCGAGGTGGATGGAGTGGGGTTGGGGACAGTTTCATCATGGCACGCCCGGACTCAAGAGCCCCCAGAACTCCCATCGCTACTACAAGGACTCTACACTTCCGTGATTGGGCCTCATGCAGCCTCAGCCACCCTTCTCCCACCTTCTTCCCTCTGTCTGTCCAAAAGGCCACCTGCCATTCGAGGCCATCACCTCTTGGAAGCCCCCCTGATTGTCCAAGCCCTCATTAACCTACCCCTCCCTTGACCATTCAACATTTGGGGAAAAGTGCATCCTTATATGAATTTGGCTTTTGTACATTACTTCTTCTAGCATGGAGTTAAAAATGAATGCTTTCTTCTATTTTAAAATGTTATACCCTGCTTGGAATTGCTTGTGGATTCCTCTATCTATGGCTGACTTCTCCACTAGACTGTAAGCTCCTTGAATGGAGAAATTCAAGGTACCCCCAGTCCGGTGCTCCAGAAACATCCATTGACAACAACACCTGGAACTTGGCGGCAAGTCAAAATCAGATTTAGCAAATGGACAGCCAAGATCACAAGAAAGAATCAGGAGTCCGATAACCATTTCCCTATAACAGGAATGCCCAGCCTCGGTGGTGTGTGATTAGCATGACCACGTGACCGATAAACATGTGGGGCGCCTGACCTGACGCTGCGGCAGGACAGAAGCCACATTCAGAACAGTTTAAGAACCTTCCTCAGGAAGCTCTAAAAACCTTAGGACCTACAGGTTTACAAACATGAAAAGATGACATCCCTTGCTCACAATCAGGACGTGCAGAGGACCCATTCACCCCTAACAGAAAGGCAAGCGTGCCCCACCAAATGTTGGGGGGGGGGAGGCAGGGAAAAAGGAAATCGTATTCTATGGCTAAGATTTAAAATTAGTCCAACCCCTTTGGAGAGGGATTTAATAACATCTGGGCAGGCTGGAGAATGTACATACTATCACCCAGCAATTCCGCTTTGTAATACACATGTGGAAAGAAACCCTCCTATATGTGGTGCAAGGAAAATATACAAGGATATTTGTATATTTATATATACATATATATATACATATACAAGGATATTTGTATATTTACATATACATATATATACATATACATATTTGTATATGTATATATCTCAGCACTATTTGTAACTATTAATACAAAAAGGTAACAACTTAAATATTTTAGCAGAGCAACAGTAAAAACTATTGTTTGTACAGTGGCAATTTACACACAGTAGTTAAAGGCAAATAGACTAGAACTGTATGTATTGGATACACTTTACAAATAATGTTTGAATGAAAAAAAAGCAACTTGTAAAATAATAAGTCTGCTCATGTCAAATTCAGAAGCATGCAAAATAATTCTATACATTGTTTATGGATACAAACAAGTACTAATGGTATAAAAATGCAAGAAAATGGCTGGGCGAGGTGGCTCACGCCTGTAATCCCAGCACTCTGGGAGGCCGAGGCGGGCGGATTGCTCAAGGTCAGGAGTTCGAAACCAGCCTGAGCAAGAGCGAGACCTCATCTCTACCATAAATAGAAAGAAATTAATTGGCCAACTAACATATATATAGAAAAAATTAGCCGGGCATGGTGGCACATGCCTGTAGTCCCAGCTACTCGGGAGGCTGAGGCAGTAGGATTGCTTGAGCCCAGGAGTTTGAAGTTGCTGTGAGCTAGTCTGATGCCATGGCACTCACTCTAGCCTGGGCAACAAAGCAAGACTCTGTCTCAAAAAATAATAATAAAAATTTAAAAAAAAAAATAAAAATGCAAGAAAAGGAAATACACTAACATTAGTTAGTGAATGTTGAAATATTAGTTGTATTTGGTTTGAAAGGAAAGGAATAGGGCAGGGGAGGGCACCAAAAGGCTCCAACTACATCTATTATGTTTAACATTTTAAAAATCTTATATCTGAAACCAATATGGAAAACTGTTTATATTTGTTAAGTCTTACCAATATTGATTTCATTTGAAATATTTTATTTTAAAAACATATCATCTTGAAGCTATCACACCCCTAGGCCTATGCACTTACAAGATCCCAGAGAAGTAAAAAGATGCACAATTATCTAGATCACAAGTTGGCACCGATAGCTGGCAGGTGTCTAGACCAGAATCACTCAGCCAAGGGCCCCTAATCTCTACTTCTCTTCCTCCACTGCCATGCTGGGCCATAGCCGGTGAACGTAAACGAGACATGTGAAGAATTGCAATGGAGAAAATGCCAGAGGAGGGACAAGGCAGCTTCCTCCCATGCTGAGGCTGGCAGCGGCCTCTCCAAAGATCGGCTGAAGGACTGGGTTCCCGAAACCCTCCTCTCCTGACAAAGGTCTCCCGGCTTCCCTGGCATTGAGCCCTCCCTGGCTTCTGTTTAGAAAGAAGCCTGCTCAGAGGCTCGAGGCGCGGTGTCAGGGGCCGATACAAAGGTCTGGATCCTTCGTGCGAGGCGTGGGCTTAAGAGAAATGGGGAAGGTGCCAGCTGGCGTGGCACAGAGGATTCTCTGTTACTCGAAGTCGGGACCCCAGCCCCAGGCCCTTGACCCAGAGCCTCTGAAGGAGAGGTGCAATAATGCTCTGTAAATAGGGTGCTGGGGAAAGCCAGCTCCTCCCACAGACCTCTCCCATGGGGGCTCCCTGGGTGGATACTCTGGTTTGCTCGGGATGGAAGCAAGCAAAGCCCTTTGGCTGCATAGACCCCACGGTAACGGATCAACAAGGCAGCGCGCCTAAAGAGCCCCCTCCAGGAGAAGCTCCCCTTTCTCCCGACCAACACCAGGCTTGGCAGACAGAACAGGCCTGAATTCCAGCCTGCACTCACCCTCCCCTCTCAGCCAAGGGCCTGTGATGGGGACATGAGACAGGCAACGGTTGACAGAAGCCCTGATCTGAGAGTCACCTTTCCTTGCGAGGTGCCTGGGGTTTTGCCTGCGTGCTCTGGCTATGGAGGGCCCAAGGGTGCATGCCTGGCAAAGGAGGGGTTGCCGCGGAGGCACAAGTCCGCTCGCCCTCCCTCGGGGCAGAGGGACAGGGCACTCACTTGCGCTGGGTTTCCCCAGACTTGACCCGGATGCGCCTGATGTTGAGCTCCCGCGCTGGGTTGCCAGGCTGGGACAGGTAGCTGCGCAGCTCCTTCCACAGGTTGTACCAAGACTGAGATGTGCCCTCCCAGGTGAGTTTGATCTTCAAGAGGTCCCCCAAGTCCTCCTCGGTGTAGACCAGGAAGGTGTTGGTGGCGTTCAGCCCGATCTGCTCCACTCTGCAAGGTGAGAGAGAAACTGACCTCACTGCCCTGCCATCTGGAAAACTGCTGCATTGTGCAGGGTGACAGCACCCACCCAGCACCGGCTGGAGAGAAATGGGTGTGAGGGCCCTCCCCTGCCGCTGGCCTCCACGTCCCACCAACAGGACAAAAGTGGAGGCTCAGTTGTGTGCACATGCACACTCAGTTGTGCTCCACATTACCAGAGAGATAACTATGCCCACTGCACCCCAACTTCTTATCCAAAGCATCCTGAGCATCTCCCCATGTGTGCTACTTCCTAGGGACACAGGACCAAGACAGAGCAGAAATGAGGAAACACAAGGATGTCCCAGCCCCGTCCCCACTCAACAATGTCCCGTTCCTTAAAGCCCACGAGTATCTGTCTCCCTCCGAACCCCTAGCTGCTTCCTGCCTGTCCCTCTCATGTGGCTCTTAGCATGGCCTGCCTCGCCCCACCTGTGCATAAGCGTGAGTGTCTGTACAGACCTGGTCTTCCAGCTAGACCCTGAGCCCTGAGAAGCGAGTTATTTATTGTCGTTTGTTCACATTCCCAGCATTACTTGACATGGCAGGTTGTCCCTGGTGGAACAACTGTTTGTGGTGCTCCACAAAGACATACAGATTGCTACGTGCCCCTCCCACAGCCAGATCATTAAGAAAGATCCAGAGATGACGTTTATGAAGTTACAGATTGCCTAAAGCCTCAGGTGTCAGGCGTTGCCTGGGATGAAACAGCAGTTTCTGTCCAGCTGATCCAGCGGCTAATCTCCAGCTTCTCACGCTGCTGATTCATCCAGGGAGCTGGGATGTTTCCCTCCCAGAAACAGTCTGAGTCAAGGGCTTGCTGGGAAAGGCACAGCCAGAGAGAGGACTGCAGAGGCCAGCAGGACCACCCAGCCCCTCCTGCTAGCAGTCTACAGACTACACTCTCCTGCACCCCGCACGGGTTTGCAAGCTCCCTTGTGCTCTCTTATTCTCAAACCAACTTGTTCTCTGTCCTGAACCCAGCAGAGAAAACTTGCAACTTACATTTCCAAAGGCAGAATCTGGGAATCTGCATCAGTGCCATAAAGGGTGACATAAAAGGTGGGCTCGATTTCTCCCATGTTCTTGTAACTGAAGACATGGATTTTCATCTGATAATGGTACACTGTGGAGACAGCAGAACAAAGACGCTTGTGAGCCCAGCCTTTCTTGTCATGGCAGCGCACCCCTGACCCAGTCACCCAGCACAGTGAGTTTTTAGGGATTAACATCTTTTCAGTCTATCCCAGCCCCTAGCCTCCCTCTTTGGTCTTGTTCTGCCCAATGGCATAAGAGGCCACTGCAGCCTGGAAGAAAAAGCCCTGAACTTGGGGGTTGGGAGACCTTTTGGGGATTTGGCCTAGCTACTTTCTAGCTACGTGACCCTGGGTTAAGGACCAAAGTATTAACCTCTCTGGGCCTCACCATACCCACAATACCCGCAAAGCCTATGGATTTATAACATGTTATAAAAATGTTAAGATGTTATTTTATTCCCCTGCTCATCCTACCTCAGATTTGTTGTCATAATCAAATGAGAACAAATATGAAAACAAATATGAAACAGCTTTGAAAGTTAAATGCAAGATGGAAATTTAAGATATTGATATCTGCAGTGATGGGAGTTAGCTGTGCTGGCCGCATCTCCTAAGCTGGAACGTGCCCTGTTCTGCAGCGCGGTGTTAAGAGAGGGGTGTTCAGGGCCTTCCTGGGGGGGACTTCAGGGACTTTAGGTTACCTTTGAAAGGCATGCCTGCCCGAGTTTTGAGGTACATCTTACTGTTCCTCTTCTTCAGCATTTTCTTGGCATTGTAGCCGATGCTATTGCAGCGGTTCTTCCGGCAGCTGAGACAGATCCCCTTTTTGAAGCGGTTGGAGTCGGTGCACTGGAAGGCAAAGCTCGGCTTGTCCTGATTGACCAGGGAGTCCACGAAGAGGTGGACAGCCCTCTCGTGCTCACATTTCACCACCTCTGTGATCGCTGGGGACGGGACAGACAGAGAGCATGTAAGGTGAGCCCTTCTCGATGGTTAGACCACTCAGTAAGTCCTGCACACCTCATCACTGATAGCTGTTTATTGTTGCTGTTAGTATTTTTGTTTGTGTTATTCTTAATTCATGTCCCGTGATGTGCTGGGTTTCTGTTAGGATGTAGAAGAATTTAAGGCCATTCTGCTGCCTAACTGTTTACACTCTCTTGATGGGAAGACAGCACTAATACACAGAAAGCAATAAAGAGCAAGGGCATGCATATAAGGGCTAAATAGGATAACACACACCCATTGTGCAGTATGAGTCACTAACTCCTAACAGAGTTGTAGTCACAAAATGCTGAAAATGGATCAAATACTAAACATCACCTAATCCAGAGCTCAGCAAAATACAGCTGGTAGGCTATCTTTTGTTTTGTTTTTGTTTTTGTTTTTATAGAGACAGGGTTTCACTATGTTGCCCAGGCTGGCCTCAAACTCTTAGGCTCAAGTGATCCTCCTACCTTAGCCTTCCAAGTAGCTAGGACTACAGGCATGCACCACCATGTCTGGCTGGCTATCTGTTTTTGTAAATAAAGTTGTGTTGGAACATAGTCACACTCATTTGTTTACATGTTGTCTGTGGTTGCTTTTGTGCTACAATAGCAGATTACAGTAGTTGAAGCGGACACTATATGGCCTGCAAAGCCTAAAAGATTTACTAGCTGACTCTTTAAGATGTTTACCAACCTTATTTTAGTCCAATTCTTTCAATTATATATTATGACCAAAAGGCCCAAAGAGGTGACATAACTTGCTTAGGGTCATACAGACAGTTGGTTGCTAAGGTAGGAGTATAGGCAGTACATTGAGCTCCACAGAGACAGCGCCAGGGCAAGTGAGAGCCGGACGGGCACTGGACAACTCTGCGCCTCACTGAGGAAAAATAACTAAACATGCGCAAAGGAGATCCTAAGAAGCCGAGAGGCAAAATGTCATCATACGCATTCCTCGTGCAAACTTGCCGGGAGGAGCACAAGCAGCAGCACCCAGACGCTTCAGCCAACTTCTCAGAGTTTTCTAAGAAGTGCTCAGAGAGGTGGAAGACCACGTCTGCTAAACAGAAAGGAAAGTTTGAAGATATGGCAAAGGCGGACAAGGCCTGTTATGAAAGAGAAATGAAAACCTATATCCCTCTTAAAGGGGAAACAAAAAAGAAGTTCAAGGATCCCAATGCACCCAAGAGGTCTCCTTTGGTCTTTTTCTTGTTCTGTTCTGAGTATCGCCCTGAAATCAAAGGAGAAGATCCTGGCCTGTCCATTGGTGGTGTTGCAAAGAAACTGGGAGAGATGCGGAATGACACTGCTGCAGGTGACAAGCTGCCTTATGGAAAGAAGGCTGCGAAGCCGAAGGAAAAGTACGAAAAGGATATTGCTGCATACCGAGCTAAAGGAAAGCCTGATGCAGCAAAAAAGGGAGTCGTCAAGGCTGAAAAAAGCAAGAAAAAGAAGGAAGAGGAGGAAGATGAGGAAGATGAAGAGGAGGAGGAAAATGAAGAAAATGAAGATGAAGAAGAAGAAGATGATGATGATGAGTTGGTTCTAGCACAGTTTTTTTTTTCTTGTCTATAAAGCATTTAACCCCCCTGTACACAACTCACTCCTTTTAAAGAAAAAAATAGAAATGTAAAAAGAAAAAAAAAGTTAGGAGTATAATTTGGAGTTTCTGGCCCATAATATATCATTATTTCTTGTAACCAGAGGCTAAAGCCAATAATTTAAGTAACTCCTGGGACCTTAAAAAAATTTCACAAACTGACCCCCAACCCTGCCTCACTGGCACCACCAGCCTTAAGAAATGCCATCACCCCATGGCCTGGGGCAGGGGTGAACTCCCCTTGCACGGCCACCCAAGGCCTGCGGGGCTACTTGGATAGTAATCACACTGGGAGAGGGAGAATGAGGGACAGCGTGGAACACCCAGAGGGCAGCGCATCAGAGTGGGGAGAGCTGACGGGGGCCAAGGCAGCAGACACTGCCAGCATCCAAGGTAGTAAGAGGATGGGAAACCCAGAAAGGGACTGTCACTGCACTATATGTCAGTTTCTGCAGATTCTGAACTGAATCTGAACAGTCAGATTCAGTTCATCCCAAGTCTGCTAAGAATGTGCCCAGGCATTCAGGAGATAAATTTTAAGTGAATAGAGAAAGCCTCTTGGTTTTGCTTTTTTCAAATGTTACTAAAAACTGGGACGTGCGCGGTGGCTCACGCCTGTAATCCTACCACCCTGGGAGGCCGAGGTGGGCGGATTGCTCAAGGTCAGGAGTTTGAGATCAGCCGGAGCAAGAGTGAGACCCCATCTCTACTAAAAATAGAAAGAAATTAATTGGCCAACTAAAAATATATAGAAAAAATTAGCCAGGCATGGTGGCGCATGCCTGTAGTCCCAGCTACTCAGGAGGCTGAGGCAGGAGGATCGCTTGAGCCCAGGAGTTTGAGGTTGCTCTGAGCTAGGCTGATACCAGGGCACTCAAATAGCCTGGGCAACAAAGTGAGACTCTGTCTCAAAAAAAAAAAAAGCAAATCAAATGTTACCAAAAATTAAAATATAGTATATCCATGCTATGGAATATTATACAGTCTATAAAAAGAATAAGGTTAGTAAATATATGTGCTCTCATGTTTAAGAATATCCATAACATATTATAACTGAAAAAAGAAAGTTGCAGAACCAGACGATTTTGAAAAAAAATACTTACACTCATATAAACTTGCAAAAAGATAAGCCTGAAAGGATACACACAAAAATGTCCATACTGGCTATGTCTGAAGAGTGGAAGTAGGGTGGCAGTGGGAGTGAGGGGAGATTTTAATTTTTGCTTTATGCAAGTCCAAACTGCTCAATTTTTTCCAATAAACATGCATGTATTCTTTTTGTCATAAAAAGAAATTAATCTGGCTGGGTGAGGTGGCTCACGTCTATAATTCTAGTAGTCTGGGAGGCCAAGGGGGAGGAACACTTGAGCCCAAGAGTTTGAGACCAGCCTGGGCAAGAGTAAGACCCCATCTCTACAAAAAACAGAAAAATTAGCCAGGCATGGTGGCACCCACCCATAGCCTCAGCTACTTGGGAGGCTGAGGCAGGAGGATCACTTGAGCTTAGGAGTTTGAGGTTGCTGTGAGCTATGGTGACACCACTACCCTCATGCCTGGGCAACAAACTGAGACCCTGTTTCAAAAAAGAAGAAAGAAGAAGAAGACGGAGGAGAAGGAGAAGAGGAGGAGGAGGAAGAGGAGGGGGAGGCAGAGGAGGAAGAGGAAGAGGAAGAGGAAGAAGAAGAAGAAGAAGAAGAAGAAGAAGAAGAAGAAGAAGAAGAGGAAGAAGAGAAATTAATCAATAACAACTGTGATCTTGAAGCAAGAGAACACATAGCAGGGACCACTGGATGGCTATTAACAGCTTGTGGGATGATAAGAAACATTAAACACAGGTTAGAGGGCCCTGGTGGAGGGAGGTGGGAATAATGAAATGAACGGTGCTGGGAACACTAACAGCTCTGGCTGATTTAGAAGGAGCTAGGTCTCCATTTATACCGAGTCAAACATGAAGCAGAAAACAAAGGAACTCACTTCCATATGCAATCGATCCCAAGACATCATTGAATCCACAGCCTGGCTGGAAGTCACCCCCATTGGGGTAGATGTCGATGTGGCCCACAGGCCTCTGAATCCCAATGCTCAGGCCAAAGGAACGCGTGTAGGTGTGGAGGACGTCCACAAAGTCTGCATCGTCGGGGGACAGCCTCTTGTGGATGTCCACCCCTTCAAACATGGGCCCAGCAGGATCCAAACCTGTAAGAAAAGGAGGGGGGCAAGACAGACAACATCAGATGCACCAAGTCAAGGAGTCATGATTTAAAGTGAAGTCCAGGCCAGGCGCGGTGGCTCACACCTGTAATCAATCCTAGCACTCTGGGAGGCCAAGGTGGGTGGATTGCTCGAGGTCAGGAGTTCCAAACCAGCCTGAGCAAGAGCAAGACCCCGTCTCTACTATAAATAGCAAGGAATTAATTGACCAACCACTAAATATATATAGAAAAAATTAGCCGGGCATGGTGGCACATGCCTGTAGTCCCAGCTACTCCGGAGGCTGAGGCAGAAAGATCGCCTGAGCCCAGGCATTTGAGGTTGCTGTGAGCTAGGCAGATGCCACGGCACTCTAGTCCGGGCAACAGAGTGAGACTCTGACTCAAAAAAATAAATAAATAAAAATAAAGTGAAGTCCAAGTGTGCAGAGTGAAGATACCTTCTGAGCCTGGCCCCATGAATCAAGAATGGAAGGCATGGCAGAAACTAAGGAACCCATTTCCAAATTTGGGGGAAATTATTAATAAATCCTACTGTTTTGGAACTCACATTTTCTCCTGAAGCCTGCACCTGTCCTGATACCTCAGGTGACCCAGTAAGCTAGCCACAAAGCTCACCTGCCACGCAGCTCTGACGAACCATAGACTGTTAGAACTGGAGCAGTTCTAGAAAGACCCCTGGCTGCCTGAAAGTAAGCCATTTTTCCCATTCATTCTTCCTCTGAGAGCCCTTCAAAGCCTTAAATTCAGCAGAATTTTTACAGAATAACTAAGCTGCCTACATCCTTCTGGAAGGAGAACTCAGTCTCCCCAAACTGAGCTATTTGTATGTGGACTTACTCTTCCCCTTCCTTTAGGTATGAGTCAAGCCCAGGGTCAGTGGTGAGAGAGGAGGCTGCCCCCAGTGCACTGGAATCCATACACTAAGCCTCTAGAACTCCTGTTTCGCAGTCACAATGAGAAAATCCTGGTGCCTCCAAACTTTCTGTATTGAGCAGGCAAGTAGCACTGGTTCTCACATTTGAAACTGCACAGATAGCACTGGGTAGCTTGTTAAAAATTTAGATTCCACGTGTAACTATAAAAAAATCTCTGGAAGGACACACAATCAATTAGCTGCCTGTGCGTATATGCGCTGAGGGAGGGGGTGAGGAAGGGGGCTGTGCAGGTGGCTGCAACGGTGAGAGAGACTCCCCACCATCTTTTCATTTTAGAACCACAGGTATGCAAAGAACCACTCAAAGAAAAGAACTTACAAAGCATAAAATGCAGATTCCCAGGCCCCTGAACTCTTAGAGATTCTGATCAGTAGGTGTGGCATGGAGCTCAGAAATACAGATCGATTCCCCAGGGGGTCCTAAAAGTAGGTGGTCTGTGGACCAAATATTGAAAACTTCCCTGTGTTTCAGTATCATCTATAAACTGGAAACTGAATGCCTTAATTCATACAGTTCATGTGAGATATCAACAGAGTAAGTGCTTGTTGATATTAGCTGCTGTTACCAAGCCCAAGTGATTATAAGAACCAGATTCAGGCCGGGCGCGGTGGCTCACGCCTGTAATCCTAGCACTCTGGGACCCCCTCCCCCCCCCGGCCGAGGCGGGTGGACTTGCTCCTGACGGCTCGCGAGTCTCCCCAGCTGCGCAGAGGCGCAGCCCCGTCTCTATTCTCAAACTAGAAGAACTAATTGCAACTAATATATCCTCCCGCCACACATTCGCCGGGCATGGTGCCGCTGCTGTCTCCCAGCTTACTCGGGCGCCTCGCGCCGCCGGATTCCCGCGATAGACAGGCGATTCGAGCGTTGCTCGTGCGCGCTAGGCTGATGCCCGGCACTCCTCTCGCCTGGGCCACAACGCAACGCTCCTCGCTCAACCAAACAACAAACCAGATTCATCCCAACAAGGAGGGCTCGTTGTCCCATAGACACACAGGGAGGACCTGGAGAAAGCTAAGAAACAAGATGTGCTTCAGGGTAGGGGCTTCTAGAACAGCGGCTCACCATGGGGATGATTCTGCCCCACAAGGGACATCTAGCATTGTCTAGGGACCTGTTTGTTGTGGCAGGGAGAGCCACTAGCATCTAGTGGGGACAGGGCAGGGATGTAGCTAAATACCTTACAATGTACAAGACAACCCCCCCCACACACACACAACAAAGCTCCAAGTCAACAGTGGTAGGCTAGGAAATGCTGGTCTAGAAACACGGAGGCTGGGGGGGGGGGGGCGGGGATGTGGCCAAGAACAGAGTACTGAAAGGAGGCCCCGGGTGACAGCACCATGTTCGCCAGAGCCCAGTACAGCAGCAACAGGGAGCACATCAGGAGACTCGAAAGGTAATTCTAGCATAAACAAAAGGGCGGAGCTCTTGCCTAGTGTGGACGGTCAACTCGTGGAACTCATCACTCATGACAGCTGGTAGAGGCTGAAACTCTTAAATAGTTTCCAGAAGTAGTTCAGATAAATGTATGCATGACCGAGGCAGAAGGAGAGCCCCGACTGCTTGGGGGCTCATCCCACGCCCCTGACCCAAAAGAAAGTTGACACACAAGCAGTGTCCTCCCAGAATAGCCCGAGATGACCCACTGTAGAGGCTGCAAGGACCGCAGTACTGACACAGGTGGCCTCTCCCCACCATGCCCCCTGGAAGGAAAAAAAAAAAATAGAAAGAAAGGGACATTCTGCTTTGCCACCAATACAAGAGAGGCTCTTTGCTCAGTGCGAACAAAGGTCCCCACCAGACGGTCAGTGCCATGGAAACCAGTCTGTGCTGGAGGAATGCAGGCGGCTGATGGGGCTTCGCGGCCCGCTGGCGGGCAGGCCGGGCCGTCACCTACCCAGACTGAGCCGGCCTGCCCTGCTCCGACTGTCCCTGACTCCTATTCTGTGGCCCACAGACTCAGGGGAAAAGTGGCACAATATAAGGGGTTTTTTTGTTTTTTGGGTTTTTTTTTTTTTGAGACAGAGTCTCGCTTTGTTGCCCAAGCTAGAGTGAGTGCCATGGCATCAGCCTAGCTCACAGCAACCTCAAACTCCTGGCTCAAGCAATCCTCCTGTCTCAGCCGAGTAGCTGGGACTACAAGCATGCGCCACCATGCCCGGCTAATTTTTTCTATATATATTAGTTGGCCAATTAATTTCTTTCTATTTATAGTAGAGACGGGGTCTCGCTCTTGCTCAGGCTGGTTTCGAACTCCTGACCTCGAGCAATCCTCCCGCCTCAGACTCCCAGAGTGCTAGGATTACAGGCGTGAGCCACCGCGCCCGGACTACAATATAAGTTTTTAACTGGGAATGAAAAGGAGAGCTACCCCCTCCAAAAACAGGGAAGATGAAGATGAAGAACCCGCACTTCTTCCATTCGTAGATTCTCCCAGACATGTTCTGTCCAGCACAAGGCACACACACACACACACACACACACACACAATTAGGAGAACCTCTGGGGCTGTGGATTCTGGACTAGCAGGGCAGAGCCTGTGGCACTTCAACAGCTACTTTCTCTCTCCCTACAGAAGAGAGGCGGCATGGCAGCGTGGATGGGTGCAGGCTGTGGACTCTGACAGCCTGGGTTCAAATCCTAGCTCTGCTACTTACAGGGTGCAAGATATCGGGCCCATTACTCATCACCGAGTCCTGGTTTCCCCCCCTGTGAAACGTGCAGGGTGCTATGTGGCTCAGAGAGAGCATAAAGCACTTGTCACACACGAGGTACGTGACATTAGCTAGCATCTAGCTTATGTTAGTTTTTTTTAAATTCATATTTCTTAAATGAATTAATCTGCTTGCTTATTTATTTATGACTAAGTAGACACAGGTTCAATTAGCAATACATGTCCTCTTCCCTGCTATATCACAGACTCTTCTCAGAAGCCTCAGAGAGTAAAACTCAACAAAGCCTCAGTCCACACCCTTTGGCCCAAGCAAGACTGGGGTTCGGGTATCCCCTTGCAGGCCCCAGGCTAAGGACCGCCTGGTGGCCTCTGGACAGTGGCATCACTGCCTCCAGACCCCATGCAAGCTGCAATCTCTTTCCTCTTACCAGCCGGGACCACCTGGTCGACTGGCCCATGGGAAATCTACCAACTAAGGGGAGATGGCAGGCATGTCAGGTGAGCCAAATACCCCCCAAGCAGCTGCTTGGCCACTGGACAGAGACCAGGCCCCTGCTCCACAAAGAAAGGCCAGAGGGAAGGGGCTGTGCTCAGGGCCCCGTGCTCGACGTAGACGTCCCTGAGCACTGATTAGCATTCTGCCTGGCTCCCCTGCCCACCATGGGAGAAGCCCTCCTCCTGGCAGCTGCCACTCAAACAGGCAGGGGGAAAGAATTGGGAAGTTCTCCCACCAGTCCCATCTCATTTCAGATTTAGAAATAGGGAAAGGCAGGATCTATAGTGTGTCCTTGTTGCCAACAGCAGTCTGGGCCCTGGCTCTGCTGTGCGCTCCAGTTGGCCAGGATCTGAAACATCAAGCCTGTCATTTAGGGGCTAGGAAGAGGTGCTCAGACAGTAGAACCCAGAGGGGCTTCTGGTCAAACTGCTCTGCATCAGCAGCGGGTTAATGAGCAGTCAAGAGTTGGCCACACAATCACAGCCCACTTTGGACAGCTCAGGTCCCCCAGTCTTGGAAATCAAAATAATGCTCTCAAGCTATGGTAACTCAAATTGTTGGATCTGAAGGGATATGTATGCATCTGTGTTTGTGTGTGTGCATGTACATATTAGACTTAAGCCCAGGGACAGTGATTGAGGAGGTTTAATAATACCTCACGAATGTTCTTTTATAAAATCTACCATGCCAGGCTGGGTGTGGTGGCTCATGCCTGTAATCCTAGCACTCTGGGAGGCCGAGGAGGGAGGATTGCGTGAGGCTAGGAATTTGAGACCAGCCTGAGCAAGAGTGAGAGCCTATCTCTATCAAAAACAGAAAAACAGGCCGAGCGAGGTGGCTCACACCTGTAATCCTAGCACTCTGGGAGGCCAAGGCGGGTAGATTGTTTGAGCTTAGTAGTTCGGAACCAGCCTGAGCAAGAGCCAGACCCCGTCTCTACTAAAAATAGAAACAAATTAATTGGTCAACTAAAAATATATAGAAAAAATTAGCCGGGCATGGGTGGCGCATGCCCTGTGAGTCCGCACGCTCTGTGAGGCTGAGTCTGAGTGTTGTTATGTGTTATGTGTTGTTGTCTGTGTTGTGTTTGCGTTGCTGTGAGTTAGGCTTGATGCCATGTGTTTGTCTGTTTTTGTCTGTGACTTCCTGATTGTGTGTGTCTGTCGTCAAAAAAAAAAAAAAAAAAAAAAAAGTAGCAGGTGTGGTGTTCATGTTGTCGAGTGGTCCCAGCCTACTTTGGGGAGGGTGAGGCAGGAGCCAGGAGTTGTTGAGGCCTGCAAGATGAGCTTAGGATGAAGCCACGCAGGTCTACCTGGGCAACACGAGCGGAGACTCTGGGCTCTCAAAAACAAAACAAACAAAACTACCAGTTAGCCACCTGGTGTCACTGAAAACTGAAATTCGAGTACCGGTGTTACTAAAGATTTCATTGTTTTTGTTTGGTTTTTTTTTAGACAGAGTCTTGCTTTTGTTGTCCGAGGGCTAGAGGAGTTGCTGTGGCGTGCAGCCTAGGCCTCACAGCAACCTCGAAAATCACCTGGGCCTGCGAAGCAATGCCTCCTACCTCAGCTCCCTATATGCTGGGGAGTTACAGGCATGCGCCCACCATGCCGAAGCTAATTTTTTCTCTATATATTTATTTGTAGGTTGACCAGTTTATTTGGTTGTGTACGTATTTTAGTAGGAGACGGCGTCTGGCTCTCTGCTCGAGCGTGGTTTCCGAACTACTAAGCTCAAACAAATCCGCCGCCGCCTCGGCCTCCCAGGAGTGGCCTAGGATTACAGGTGAGAGCCACCGCATCTGCGCGCCCTGGAGCCGTGTGTTTTCTGTTTTTGACTAGAGATGGGCTTTGCTCGACGCTCGCTTGCTCAGGCTGTCTCAAATTCCTAGCCTCACGCCATGCTCCCTCCTCGCCTCCCCGCAGGAGTGCTAGGGATCCACGGCGTGAGCCACCAGCGCGCCTGGCCCTATGAAAAGAGTCAGTTCTTTAGGGCCAGCGGCGCGGGTGGCCTCGCAAGCTGTAATCGTAGCAGCTCTGAGGAGGCCGAGGCGGGCAGATGTCGCATCGAAGACGCGTGCAAGGAGTTCGAATACAGCTGGGAGCAGAGCCAGAACCCCGTCTCCTGTACTATAAATAGAAGAAAGTTAATTTGTTGGCCAATTTTTTGTATCTAGTACTATGTAAATTAGCCGTGTGGTGGCGCCATTTGCCCGGTGTAGTGTCCAGCTACTCCGGGAGGCTGCAGGCCAGCAAGATTGTTGAGCCGCGCAGAAGTTTGAGTTGCTGTGAGCTTAGGCTGACACCACGGGCACTCAACTCTAGCGCTGTGCAACAAGGCGCAGAGAACTCGTGTCTCGCTGTAGAAAAGAAAAAAAAAAAAAATCATTCTTTAGCTCAGAACTCTCTTCCACCTAAGTCCTGTTTTAAAATGAAAACTCTACAGGGAAAGAAATTGTTCAAATTTTTCCTTCTAGGCGACCACCCTGACTATCTTAGAGGAGAGGGGAAGCTGGAGTGAATACAAATAAAACAATGCTAGAAGAAGGATAAAAGTGCAGGCCAACAAATTTGCCATTAATGTTAGCGTAGAGGAAGCTCTGTGTACATATTTTAGGGGGCCAAAATGGGAAAGACAACCTTTCACACTTTTCATAACCATTAAATGATTTAATCCAACTCTCGAATTAACAGCTCACTAAGGGCCGGGCATGGTGGCTCACACCTGTAATCCCAGCACTTTGGGAGGCCAAAGTGGGAAGATCTCTTGAGGTCAGGCATTCAAGACAAGCCTGGGCAACATAGCCAGAACCTGTCTCTACAAAATACTTTAACATTTAGCTGAACATGGTAGTGCACACCTGTAGTCCCAGCTACTTGGGAGGCTGAGGCAGTAGGATTGCTTGAGCCCAGAAATTCAAGGTTGCAGTGAGCTATGATTGGGCCATTACTCTCCAGCCTGTGACAGAGCAAGGCCCTGTCTGTAAAAATAAATAAAAATAAAAAGCTGACTAAGGTACAGTGTTCAAGACAGATAGAAAACTCGATTTTCTATGGACCACCTGGGAATCAATTTCAGAAAGCTCTCTTTAATTACAAAGGTTAAGTACCCATTCTAAATATGTAGCTATGATTAGCCATCATTAATAAATATAACACCTTAACAGTGGTAAGAGGCTATTGGTAGATTAAATAAAAATCAAGGCAAAATTCAACCTAAATTTTTGGAGGTTTTTTAAAAATTTGTTTCATGGTTTTGTTTTCTTTTGTTTTAGAGACAGGGTCTAGCTCTGGCAGGCAGGCTGGAGTGCAGTGGTGTCATCATAGCTCACAGCAACCTCAAACTCCTAGGCTCAAGCGATCCTCCTGCCTCAGCCGTCCCAGTAGCTGGGCCTACAGGTGCACACGGGGAAACTAGAATCTACTCTTCGTTCTTTCCCCTTGAGTCCCTGGAGCATCATGGGTGGAGACCTGAAGGGAACAGCCAAAAGGCTGGGGCCAGGGCTCCGTCCAGCTTCTGCTCTTGAGTCATTAGCTGTTTGCCCGTGAGCAAGTTGCCTCATCTCTCTGCTTCCTCACCTGTTGGACTAGACCATGGGTTTTCAAACGGCGTGCCCTGATGCTCTGAGATCCTGGGATTCCGCCAAGGAAGGGGAAGGCCCGCATTGCAAGGCTAACACTACCATCTCTCTGTCTCATAAATTGGGGCCCCAGGCAAGTTCCATTTGAAACAAAGTCTCTATGACTAGAAAGAACATTTGAAAAGCTCTGGATGAGATGTTCTCCAGTTTCCTCCTAAAGCTAATCCTCTATGACTCACTCCAGCTACCTCATTAAGGAGCACCCTGGTTCGGAAAAACCAGGTTGGTGGCATAGCCGAGGGAGCTCGGGATTGGCCACTGTTGGGGGGTGGCACAGGGCTTACCTGTGATTCTGCCCACTGTTCCTTTCACGAAGTTGCCAGCATACCCAGCCACGTGCGCTCCCAGGCTATAGCCGATCAAATGGACGTTTCCGAGAGAAAAATCATCCTTCTCCTGCAGGATGGCACCAAAGCGTGTGAGCTGAGTGGAGAGTGAGGTTCTGCGCCCCCAGAGTCACCAGCGATTCAACAACTCAGTCACAACGAAGGAGAAAATGCAGGGCCGTGGGCACAGAGACTCCCTGGGGCCTTGCTGGCATGGACCGCAATGCAACATGTGTGGATCACAGCCAGGTAAAGGCAGGCCAAAAGGACTTGGTGACACTTCACATGCCAAGTGCTGGGGGGCAGGGTGGAGGGTGTGACTAGAGTCTGCATACCTGGCTGTTCCCTATACCTTTTCTGTTCTTTCTAAGGTAGGGAGGGGTGGTGGGATGGTGGTCAAAGCCACCGTCCTCTTTGGAGACTGAAGTGCCAGCCACAGTCCCTGCAGCAGAACGCTCCCTGCCCTCCCTTCCAGGCCCAGGAGCTGCCACCTCCCCACCACAAGCCTGCCTGGGACCCAGAGTTGAAGCGTCACCCCCTGACAGGACACTCAGCTAGTGGGAGTTAGAAGGTAACCCCAAGGCTTGGGGACCGTACTCTATAATGTAAACACTCTATAAAACAACTAAGGCAGAGGTCAGAGGGACTGCTCAAGAATCCTGATCAGAGTTCGTCAGATTCTAGGGGTGCAAGGAAGGTCAGGCCGGAATTGCCCTAATGTACCCCTGCCCTGCCTGGCCCCCCCCACCCCCCGCCAAGCCCGCTGATCTCAGCCAAATCATTAACCTACAAAGAGTAAATGCAAGACCTCAAGATCTGTTTTCCATACTTATTATTTTAAACGAGGTATTAGGCTGCAGTTTTTGAACCTACCCCCTCCCCACGCTTAGCACAGCCACGCTTCAGAGGCAAGAGCAGGCTTCAGTAGGTATTTAAGATTACAAGCCTGTCCAACCGACCTCGTTTATAAGATCAGGAAGTAAAACCCATAAGGCCAATTTTGTTACAGCAAATAAAGTAACATGACAAATTCAGAGATCTATGAAGAATTAAAAGTCTCTCTGAAAGCCCCAGCTTTCAAGTATTTCAAGCAATCCTTAAGTCAGTAAACCTTTCAACCCCAAGAATTTTGATCAGCCTCTGGAATTTCACAACCACACACATCCACTCTCTATTTCTCAGGAGGCTTCAGGTCTGAGATCCCACTGGTGGAAGGAGATGAGTCCCTTTCGTCCCTCGTTACCTGCAGCCAGTCGAGCATGCGTGCGATGCTGTGTCCCACCACCCTGGTGTTATTGACCGCGTCCGTGTAAAGCTGGTGGGCCAGCGGGAGCCAGTCAACCACCACCACGTTGGCGTCCCTCTCTCTTGTCTGCAGGGCTGACACCAGTTTGTACAGCCAATTCTCAAGCATGCCACTCATCTGCAGAGAAAACGGGAAACTTTTTAAAAATTCTTTTTCTGCGTTTCTGAAATTCCTAATCCATCTGGAATTCCATTCCATGACCTTCTCCCCAGCCGATTTTAGAACCTATACGTTCGCTGCTCAGGGACCGATTATTTGCACGTGAGCAGGGCCAGCCGTGGGCAGAATTGCCGCATGGGTGTTTGGCTTGCGTCTTTCTTTACTGCTCCAGTTTGTCCCATCAAAACATTCCCAGCTGGTGCCCCCGGCTGTTGCCCCCACTGTCTGATAGGGCCGCTGGGAGATATGTGTTGGTGGTGATACTGACATGAGGTTAGTCTGAGGTTAGTCCGTGTCGCAGGCAGGCAAGTGGCCTGGTCCACCCTTCAAAGGCAGCTGGGGAGGGTTGCCCTGGAGAATTAGCTTCTCTCTTAGAGATGCAGGGAGATGCTGTCTCCTAGGCAAACGCAGAGTTCACAAATGACCCCTTCCCACAACCCATCTCTGCCATCCCTCTTGACCCCAGAGAAGGGAAAATCTGTCCCTGGAATCCCAACTTAAAACTCAGAACACACTTTCCCACAGAAACAGATTTATAAATGGTGACTAGGTCCAGTTGTAAACCTATCCACAAGTACATTATCAAATAAATAGATTTTCTGTGCCTAGCCTGGGAACCCAAACACCATTTACAATCTCACTTCTATGGGAAACTGCTGTTCCAAGCTCCAAGCAGATTACAAAAGAACTTTCTGGAATGCAATCTATTTGTAAGTCACAGGCAGTTTGTATTTGCATTTTGACAGGGGGCCTTAAAAAGTTTCAAATGCATGATTTCAATTGCAGGCTGTGGGATGAGGATGGATGGACAGGTCCTCAATTGTCTCTCCATCCATGCTAGGTAGGTGGGCACCTAACCTCCCCCTGCCCACAACCACAATCGTGGATAGACCGAAAGATCCAGAAAACATGTCACAGATATGAATTTCTCATCATTAAGAGGAGGAATGTCCCCTCCCAATTAGCCTAGGCACAAATCTGCTCCCTTAATAGTGCCATTTTCCTGCAGACTGTCATTATATGAATGAATGAATCCCTGGCTGGTCAAAAGCTTCTGAAGCTGAGCATTGAAGCCCTTTTTTGTTGCAGTTTGTCATGGGCCTTTCAATGGGAATTGCTCAGCTAGGGCACATAAAGAGCCCAGTGCCTTTAAACGGGGCTATCTCTATGCAAACAGGAGGGCACCATGCCAAGGGCGACCAGCAATCCGGCCAGCTGGCTCCTCATAGATTCTCAGAGCCAGTCAAGTTGCTTCACGCAGCTCGGCTCTCACGGCGGGACAGCCCCCTCACGGCAGCGGTTGACCAGTGTAATTAAGTGTAATTAGAGAGGTCCTTAAGAGCCAGTGGAGGGGGCCGCTGCCCTCAGGAGAGCCGCTTTCTGAAAGCCTGTTGTGTGCCAGCATTTAATACCACCCTGCTGGAGTCCAGATTGCCCCCTCAGCGAATGCCCATTACATGCTTCACAGCTGTCTGAAATACAAGCAACCCACAAGGAAAGGGGGGAAGAGGGTTTGGAGTCTGGAAGCACCAGTATTCTTTTTAATTGACCAAAACAAAGGGAACCCAATCTCTTAGAAAGCTGCAGCGCTCCCTCCCCCGGCTCACCGTCCATCCGTGAATGATGAAAAAGGTTTTGGCTGTCATGTTGAAGCCGCAGTCTTCCAAGGGCTGGCTGTGGCCAAGGGTGAGGTAGCATCCTTCGTGCTCTGGATCCTTAGCGGTGCGGAGGCTAAACCTCACCTCAGAGGATTTGGCTGAAGGCTGGACGACCCTGGATTTGCTGGGCTCATCTGGGAAGAAAGAACAGAGCGTGGGTGCATCTAGCGACCTAGGTAGTGAGATCGAGGGTCTAGCTCTAGTTCAATCTAGAAAATTAAGCTATCTGGGTTTCAGTATGCATACCAGCCGAATGAATGTTCCCTCTTCACCTTCCAGAAGAAATGTAAAGATATTGTAAAATGGACATCTTATCTATACTTAATGAATTATTAATCAGTCATTAGTATTAATTACAGTGATTCTAAAATAAATAATTCTTTTTCTGGCTTTTCTTTCTTCTTCCTTATCAAAGTGAGTTCTTTCTTCCCTCAAGTTTCTACTTTTAGAGTATGGGTCCTCAACTCTTTTCCTGAAATGCTTGGGAGCTTCAGAATTCAGGTGAGTTTCAGAATTCAGAAATTTTCAGAGTTTAGAAAGGTATCATGGAACACACACTATGTATTATATAACACTCCCAGTGGCATCTCCCATGAATCAAACACACATACTTCTACAGAGAAATACATGACCACTCATACTTGAGGGCAAAAATAAAGATTATTAATTTTTTTTTTTTGAGACAGCTCACTCTGTTACCCAGGCTAGAGTGTCATGGTGTCAGCCTAGCTCACAGCAACCTCAAATTCCTGGGCTCAAGTGATCCTCCTGCCTCAGCATCCCAAGTAGCTGGGACTACAGGCATGCACCACCATGCCCAGTTAATACATATATATATATATATATATAATATATTAGCTGTCTAGCTAATTTCTTTCTATTTTTTTAGTAGAGATGGGGTCTTGCTCTTGCTCAGGCTGGTCTTGTTGAACTACTGAGCTCAAATGATCTGCACACCTCGGCCTCCCAGAGTGCTAGAATTACAGGCACGGGCCACCACACCTGGCCTATAAAGATTATAAAGATAGCTCCTGTCAACTCAGGTCAGATTTTGCCACCTAATGAATTCAGATCAGGGAAGGCCAGGTCCTGCTGCCCAGTGAGTTACCAAACAAATTTTCCAATTTTGAGAGACTTGGGGGTTTGGAACTGGAGGAGAGAGGTTGCTGGCCTGTGTGCAGTGGGCTTCCCCAAGTGTTCACATCTTGATTCCAGCACTTACTCCAAAGGCGTTGGGCATCCTCAGTGCAACATGTGGTGGTGGACATGTGCCAGGCATTCATCCAATTTGTTAATACATGACTAAAGCCCTGGAGCAACTTCTAAGAACAGCAAAACTGCCCTTCCAGCTCAACTGCTCACACACACTGCTCACCTAGGAGGTGGCCCTGCTCCCAAAGTGCAGCCCATGTCCCCAGTGGTCTATGGTCTTTTAACACTAAGTAGGGGCTGTAGTTGCCACACTACGTCAATAAGACAGTCATAAACGGCCATTCCCAGTGCACTTTCAGAACCCTGCAAAGCTGGGTGACAGAATAGTATCAGACTCTCTTGTCACCCAGCAATCATCCGGGAAAGATATCAAATGACCATGCCAGGAGCTTAATTTATCCCAGAGTTAAGAAGCAACAGGAATTGTGGAAAGAGAGACCATAGTGGTGGAGAGGGTGGTTGGAGGGGAGAAGAGAGGGAAAATGCACCAGATGTAAGAGGGATAAGGTTCCAGAAAATGCAGCTAAATACACATGAGCAGAACTCGGGTTAACTCTCAGGAAAGTAATGAATAAAAAGCCCCCACCAACAGAAATTTGAACCTTGGACATAACTAGTTTGACAGCTCCCTAACTTCTACCCAGATAGCCACTCACACAGAGACCAGATGGGGTCGTCTAGGAGCAAAGGAGTGTGCTAGATTCCTTCCACGTACGGACAAAGAAGCTTCCCCTTGGCATCTGGCTTGCTCTGACTCTATGGTTCTCCAGCTTCTGTCCTACTACTTTTGGCCGGGGTCACTTCAGCCTTTGGGACTTCATGATTCCTCTTCACCGAGATGTCCTCATGGCTCATTCTCTCACCTCCTTCAGCTCTTTGCTCAATGGTCAACTCAGGAAGGCCTTCTCTGACCACATGATAAACTTGCACCATCTTCCCCCATCAGCACGCCATGCCTCTCTCCTCTGCTCTCTTTTTCTCCATAACACTGAGCACTATTTTTATTTTAATGAGTTTACTGTCTGCCTTCCCACCACCAAAGTGTAAGCTCCATGAGGGCAGGGATAGTCATCCGTTTTGTTCACTGCTATCACTCCTTTTCCCAGAAGAGTGCCCGGCACTAAGATTGCATTGATGCATGCAATCCATACCTTTTGGAATGGATGGAATGACTCACGAATACTCAGAAGCACAGAACACAGAAGTCGGAAGGAACTTCAGCATTTTACAGGAGAGGAACTAGAGATGTGACTTATCCCAGGTAATGCTTCTAGTTAGCACTAGGGTTGGAAACATGTTCAACAGAGCCAGGCTTTCCATTCATTCAGGTTAACCCTCGCACACGTACAGAAGCTGACATGGACCAACATTAACTGGCCATCCTCAGAAGATTAGTAGAAGATGAAATGATGGGGTTTGGTTTAGAGGCTCTCCAGTCCTTCACTACTTAACCAGCTGACTTGGTACTTGGTCTGGATGACCTGACTCTCACACCAGAACAGGCTGCCTCCATTGGAAGAGACTGCCATAAAGAACCCAAGGAGGCCGGGCACGGTGGCTCACGCCTGTAATCCTAGCACTCTGGGAGGCCGAGGTGGGAGAATTGCTTGAGGTCAGGAGTTCGAAACCAGCCTGAGCAAGAGCGAGACCCCGTCTCTACTATAAATAGAAAGAAATTAATTGGCCAACTAATATATATAGAAAAAATTAGCCAGGCATGGTGGCACATGCCTGTAGTCCCAGCTACTTGGGAGGCTGAGGCAGCAGGATTGCTTGAGCCCAGGAGTTTGAGGTTGCTATGAGCTAGGCTGACGCCATGGCACTCACTCTAGCCTGGGCAACAAAGTGAGACTCTGTCTTAAAAAAAAAAAAAGAACCCAAGGAAGAAAAGGTAAAAGGTAGAAAATAGGAGGAGGAAGGGGAAGAGGAAGGGTTGTGGGTGGAAAGAGTGTTGGGGAGGAAGAGGCTGGCAACCTGGAGGAATAAGCCTGGCAGCTTCTTGGCACAAGAGGCCCACCAGATAGACACTCCCTTCAAGTACTAATCAAACCAAAGCCAGCCACCCCGCCACCTTCACTTTCATGGCATCCACACGGAGATTAAATGGAGGGGCACCAGGAGACAGCTCTTTCTAACAACCTTCTTGCCTTGCAAACCTCCAGGTTCGAAAATGAAGACAAGGTTTCAGAGCTGCTGGCAGGCACCCCGGCAGGCTGGACAGCACCCATTAACGGCCCCTATAATGGAAGAGGTTGGGGGCAGGAGAGAGGGCCCGAGCCAGTGCACCTTCCTGCCTGGTGGCTCTGGCATGACTGGCCGGGGGATGCCCTCATCAGAAGCCTCGAGAAACAAGCGGACTCCAAGGCGGAGTAGGGGGAGAAAGTGGCCAGCACAGTGGGAAAGGAAGGAGGATTTCCTGGAAACAAGGACGGACTGAAGAAGAGCACGCAAGACAGAGGGGGCCCCAGCACAGAAAAGAAGTGGGGGGTAATACAAATAAATGCACGTTACCTTCCAGCTGTCCCTCTGGACCAAGGGGTGCGGGGCTTCCCGCGGCAAAGCAACAATAGGCGCTCCAGAAACAGAGCAGAGGAACACAGTTTCTCATCCTTCCCAGCCACACCCCCTCCCCTGGAACAGGAATTTTAAAAAAACAAAAAATAAACCCTCTTGGTGTTTCCAGCAATCCGAGCCGGTAGGACCAGCAGTGGGCAGCCCTCGCTGGGCCGGAGCGTGCTGGGCTGGACAGATGAGGAGGAGAAGGTGGAAGCTGAGAACCCGGCTGCGCCGAGCCGCGGGCGGTGGGAGGGGGCGAGTGGGACCGGGCTTGGGCCGGAACCAGGTCTGCCCTCGCCGCGCGCCTCCGGGAAGCCAGCGCTCGCCGCTGTCACACCGCGAGCTCCCGGCGAAGTAGTTTTTGAAAGTATTGGAGTCATCTGACCCATCGCCAGATGGTGATTTGCATAATTTATTCCCGTCTCCGGAATCTGATTGGTCACACCTTCGCTGTCGTCTGAACCCAGACTGCCCAAAGTTTGAATGAAAGCGCCGCACAGTCACCGCGTGGACCCGCACGCTCAGCCGCGCGTTCCCAGCCTGCTGTCCCGCGGCCGCGACTCCGGCCACCTCCGCTTCCTCCCAGGGCCCTGCCCTGGACCCCCAGATCCTCAAGGGGCACTTCCCCGAAACTCTGCGTCCCCCGGGACCAGATTCCTGGAGAGGGGAGGTCACCCTCTCCGAGGTGCAAAGCTACCCTCGCTCCAAGAATGGGCTCTCCGCGCCCGGGGCGGCTGGGGGAAAGCCACCCGGTCATCCTCTTGGTCCTTCTCTTCTCCCTCCCTTCTTGCCCAGCGAGGACAGCAACAGGTGCCGTCAGGGCGACTGGACAATAACCCGGCGGAGCTGAGAGGCTGGGGGCTGTGGCCGGCGCCACAGGGTCGCACAGACCCGCTCGTAGTCCTCGCTCCGCAGCTAGCTGCAAAACTCCGGGCGAGCCCCCCAATTTCTCCAGGGCCGTTCCCCCGACCGCATGCGTCGGTGATAACAGTCCCCGCCGCTTAGGGATGTTGGAAAAATTAAGAGTTCAGGCAGTGCGGCTCCCGGCACGTGGCGAGCGTCCTCCCACTGTGGGGTGGAGGACTGAGGGGAACGGGCGACCCTCCCCAAAGGGAACGGTGGGCGAGCTTGGGGGGCTAAGACCGTGGCCCGCGCCCAGTCTCGGCCGACGCGCGGTAACTACGGGGTGAGCGGAATCAAGCACCTTCCCCCTCGCTTCTCTCCATCACTTCCCCCTCCTGTCCTTCCCTCTATTGATCCGGGTCGCGGGGCAGAAAGCGGCGAGCGCACGAGGCCTTGGCCCGGCCTGCGTCTGGCGCTGGGGAGCTGGGGCTGAGCCCGGGACAGCGGCGGGGCGGCTGCGCCAGCAGCCAGTGGGGACGCTGGGCCCGCGGGAGAGGTGGGACGCGCCACGCAGGGCTGCACACCGCCATCCAGCCTCGCTTCAGCCGGGAGAGCTGGCTCCGCAAGGCGGCAACCTTGACCGCCAGTAACCCCGCGGTCGCCGGGAAGAGGTCCTGCTCTTGCCTCGCTAGGGAAACCCCAGCAGCAGCCCCGAGCCCCTTCCTCCCTAGTGTCGGGGCTCCGGCTTGAGAGACCTGAGAAATCGATCAGGAGCCAGCAAGTCGGGTTCCAACCTACCTTGTTACTTTTGTTACTGCCGCTGCCGGCGCAGCGCGCTTTCTCCCTCCTGTGTGCTGTCAGTCATTCACGAGAGGCAGACTGGCTTTATATTTTAGTATAAAACTCAGTGCTCTGGGATGGTAAATGTCACACCCAGAAATGTTGCTGCTGTCCCCCTCTCGCTCTCCCTCTTCCCTGGCAAACTATACAGACAAGTCAGGTAGTATCCCCATTTTACAGATGGGAAAACAGTCGTGGGGACAGGCTGCATGTTTGAAGAAAGTCTCACAACAGGTCTCCCGCTTCTGCTCTAGGTTTAATTTGGCCACTTGACCTCTAAATATAAGCCCTTGGCAACCTTGTCTCCATCTCCTTAGTGGCTGAAGCAGGGAGTAAGCTGAGATTTAAAAGAAAAAATCCCATTCCCTGCCTGAGTGTTGTGGCTCCTAGCACTTTGGGAGGCCAAGGCGGGAGGATCGCTTGAGGACAGGAGTTTGAGCTCAGCCTGAGCAACATAGTCAGACACCCCATCTCTAAAAAAATCAAAAAGTTAGCCTGGTGTCCTTATAAGCGCCTGTAGTCCCAGTTACTTGGGAGTCTGAGGCTGGAGGCTTGCCTGAGCCTGGGAGTTTGAGGCTGCAGTGAGCTAGGATGATGCCACTGCACTCCAGCCTGGGTGACAGAGCAAGACCCTGTCTCAAAAAAAAAAAAAAAATCCACTTGCCTGTTCTGAGGAGTTGCTCACAGCCATGGTTCCTAGAACATTAACTGGACAATGTGGAGGGTGTGTCTTGGGAACCTTTGTCACCAGTGAGATGGCTAGGGTGGGTAGGGTATTTTGCAGGTTATCTTTATATGATATTCCTGCAAAATTGGTTATCCTGCTTTAAAAAATATAAAAACAGGTTCAATAAAATCAACATCCATTTTGTAACTGCCAAGGCTATGAAACCATTGAACTTTGATTGCTAGGTGGTTAGAGTGCCCTCCTGTGTCTTCATATTAAAATGTCATGTGAGAACTTTCAAAGGACATAATGAAATTATAATCATGCATTAGAATGTATAACATTAGAATTATGGTTCTTTTAGAATTTGTCTAGCAGGTTTTCTGGTGACATCACCAAAAAATTTAAACTTAAATTAAAAAAATTTTAATTAAAAAATTATAGCATCAATTGTTCTGCTTCATACTTCCCAGAAGAATAACAAAGAGATCCGAGGAGCCTCCTGTGTGGAGGAATTCCAGCTGAGGAGTCTCAGTGGAAACTTCTGTTGTATTACAGTCAAAATTTCAAGGTCTCCAGCTACCATACTAAAGAACTCTAGTCGTACTTTTTGTCAGCACAGCATCTAAACACCCTTCCTGTGTTAAAGGAATGAATCTCTCTCTTATGATAAGAGCCCACTTTCTACTACCCAAGCGCAAAAGCAAACACTTTCCCAGCTTCCCTTGCAGCTAGCATTTACAATTTAAACTCAGTCAATCACCCCTGGTGCAGTGGTTTATGCCAGTAATTCCAGCACTTTGGGAGGCCAAGGCAGAGGTTCACTTGAGGCCATGAGTTCAAATCTATCCTGGGCAACATAGTGAGATATCCTCCCTCCCCATCCCTACGAAAAAAATTAGCTGGATGTGGTGGCACTCACCAATAGTTCTGGTCTACTAGGGAAACTGAAGTAGGATCTCCCTGAGTCCAGGAGCTACAGTCCAAGGTTACAGTGAGCTATGATTGTATCACAGTACTCCAGCCTGGGCGACAGAGGGAGACCTTGTCTCAAAAATAAATAAATATTAGGCGTCAGTAACACCATGGAGAAAAGTAATAATAAATAAATAAACAAGCAAATCTAGTCAATCAAACTCTGAACTGGAAGCTAGGGAGGCTACCCACACATACACACTCTGCCAATGGGCAGCCAGCTCTGGTGCGCTGGGGCAGAATGGCGTAGTCTCCAGCAGACTAGTGTGCAGTGAGATTTGGGGCATTGCTGTCTGCCTGAGTGTGCCCTCCAAGCATGGTTCTTCAGTCCTGCAGAGATTCCAGCTGCTACCCAACATCTTCTTAGTATTGCTTACAACTAAGAAAATGACTTAATCACCAGATGCTTATTGAGTAGCTACCAGAGGGAAAACAGTGGGCCGAACACCCCCAAGGAATGTTCTGGAGGCCATCCCTGCACACTCATAGACACAATATAGAAAGTTAAAAGTGCCAAAAGGCTGGTATATAGGAGTTCCCAGATATCTATTGAAATAGAAATGTATTGAAATCTGCAATTTCTATGATGAGAATAGCCTCCCCTATATGTTAGACAATACACAACCTGCACAACCATTAACAACATCTACATTCTAGACTTAGATAATAGTAAACAAAAGTTTTCACTTACATGAACATCCACCAGGATTAAAACATTGTGTTGGGCCGGGCACGGTGCCTCACACCTGTAATCCTAGCACTCTGGGAGGCCAAGGTGGGTGGATTGCTCAAGGTCAGGAGTTCAAAACCAGCCTGAGAAAGAGCGAGACCCCATCTCTACTAAAAATAGAAAGAAATTAATTGACCAACTAAAAATATATAGAAAAATTAGCCAGTCATGGTGGCACATGCCTATAGTCCCAGCTACTCTGGAGGCTGTGGCAGAAGGATCGCTTGAGCCCAGGAGTTTGAGGTTGCTGTGAACTAGGCTGACGCCGTGGCACTCACTCTAGCCTGGGCAACAAAGTAAGACTCTGTCTTAAAAAAAAGATAATGTAGAAATATGATTAAAATACAAGTGAAAACCAGAGGCCAGTTTCGAGTTTTTCCATTACTACTTCTCTGTTACTTTTTTTTGGTTTTTTTTGAGACAGAGTCTCACTTTGTTGCCTGGGCTAGAGTGTCATGGCTTCAGCCTAGCTCACAGCAACCTCAAACTCCTGGGCTCAAGCAATCCTGCTGCCTCAGCCTCCGGAGTAGCTGGGACTACAGGCATGCGCCACCATGCCTGGCTAAATTTTTCTAGATAGTTTTAGTTGTCCAGCTAATTTCTTTCTATTTTTAGTAGAGATGAGATCTCACTCTTGCTCAGGCTGGTTTCGAATTCCTGACCTTGAGTGATCTGCCCGCCTGGGCCTCCCAGAGTGCTAGGATTATAGGCATGAGCCAACATGCCAGACCCCTCTGTTACTTGTTTACGTGTTCTTTTATCTTTTGAAAAAAGCATGCAAGTGGTAGAAAGCACAGAAACTTTAAGAGAAATTAAGGCTTTTCTGGAAGCCTAAAATAAGTTCAAAATAAAAGGTGTTTAAAAATACTAAACTCCAAATAAGTTCTGTAGTTTCATTAATAGTTTTGTACTTATGCGGAACTTCTAGTTTTGTTCTTCATACAGTAGTTATGTAGGCTGTTAACATCAGGGGAAGCCAGTGAAGGGTATACAGAGCTCGCTGTACTATTTTTGCAATTTTTCTGTAAGGCAAAAGTTAATTCAAAATTTTAGATTAAAAAAATTTACGGGAGGGGCTGGGTGTGGTGGATCACACCTGTAATCATAGCACTCTGGGAGGCTGAGGCAGGCAGATTGTTTGAGCTCAGGAGTTTGAGACCAGCCTGAGCAAGAGAGCAAGACTGCCCCCTCTATTTTTTTTTAATAAATAAATAAAAATTTATTAAAGAGCGATGAGGATGTCCACCAGCCTTGTGATAGGATTTGCAGTCAATGAAACCCTCCACCAGGCAAGAGGATTGTGAGACC